CAGACAAATAGACAATTAGATCATGTATTAGGTGCTATAACAAGAAAAAACAAAGGGTACACTGGGAGTGCTCCAGAGGGGCCTTTAACACAGCTTTGAGGATTCACAAAAGGCATTCTTAAGGAGACATATAAAGTAAAGTAACTACTGAAGATGCAAAGGGGTTATCCAAGCAAAAGACTGGGGTGAGCAATGGAGAGTCACTGCAGCGTTTTAAGAGAAGAGCACTGTGATTGTGCATTCACTGTATGAAGCCCACAACCCAGTAATGCGGAAATGCTTTGCTGGAAGAGGATGAAATTGGAAAAGGAAACTAGTTAAATCATGCTGCAGGGGCTTCCCTGGTGGTCCAGTGGCTAAGACTCTGAGCTCCCAATGCAGCGGGCCTGGGCTCGATACCTGGTCAGGGAACTAGATCCCACACACTGTAACTAGGACCCAGTGAAGCTAAATAAATAAATAGATATTAAAATAAATAAATACATAAATAAATAAATAAATCCTGCTGCAGTCACTCTTAAGGAATGAAAAGAATACAAACAGAGACTAGCAGGTATTTGAGAGAAAAATTTTTAGAGTACAACCAAACAGATTTAATAACCAAATGAATATCAAAACTGAAGGAAAAGGAAGAATCTGGGGTGATTTTCAAAATTCTAGTTCACTTGAAAAAACACAACACTTGTATCTTTTACACAAGAAACAAAGGCAGAAATAGGATTAGACATGCAAGAGATTTTAGGTGGCAGGAAGCAAAGGAAGGTGAATATTCAGATAGCAATGGAGGTCTGATACCTATAAAGAGAGAGAGAAGAAAGAATTGGGTAAGAAGAGCTCTAGACTGCAGCACAGTTCCAAAAAAGGGTCACCCAAGCTGATGGAGAGTCCTTGGGCCAAAACTGCCTGCTGGAAGAGTCTCATGTCAGTGGAGCAGACCTACCTTAGTACTCTGGTCTCCATCACTGGCTGGGAGCAGTCTGCAGGAAGTGTGGCCTCAGCAGCTGGAGACCTCAGTCAACTTTGCTCCCCAGGGCAAGAGGAGCGAGCAGCACTTTTTTTTTTAATTTATTTATTTTAATTGGAGGCTAATTACTTTACAATACTGTAGCAGTACATTTTAATAGCTGTCAGAAAGAGAGAGCTAAAGATCACCTGGGCCAGAACCCTCTGGTAATGACAGGATCCCTTCATCATACCTGAAGCATCTGTTTCAGTGATGGAGAGATGGAATACTCATTTCTGCATCTTTATTGCCCACTACATGCAATGCTTCTGAGAATAATGATTGATCTAGTACACTGTTAAGTGCAGACAGAATGTTAAATAAATGTCTGTAGTATGAAAGAATGAAGTAGAAACAAGATAAGCCAGAGAGGTCAGAGAGTATCAAAAATGAGAAGTAGTTCCCTGAGACACAGGATATATAGGGGGCCCTGGTGGAAACCTGGTGGAAGGTTTCGTAAGGTACTGTTCATAAGTTACCGTTGACTCATGTGTTAAGGCCCCTCCACCATACACCAAAGAACAGATGTGCTTGGTGGAGACACGTGGCCTCAGGAACAAGCTCTAGCCTGTAACTGGACTCCAAATGCAAGGACAATTCTCGTTCTCATACTTTGACCCTAGGAACCTGGTCACAGTGGGGAAAAGATCTGCTCTGGTCCTTTGTGCATGAAACGGCCGGATGTAAGAGTCTTAGGGATTAGCAACTGAAGTTAGCTTAATGAAAACAAAACAAACAAGATGGCCACTTCCAGGGTTTCTCAAAAATGGGAGTGAGGTGTTAGCTAATTCTCCCCCATGGCCTTGGACTGTCAGGAACTGGCAGATTAAGTATTTTCCCTGGTGGGTTCAGAAGACCATATCCTCTCCAAAAGAGCTAAACTTCCCTTCAGGGTGCCTCTAGCCACAAGCAAGACTCCTTTCCTCAGCAAATCACCCACTACTCAGACTCACGTCCCCACTCCCACCCCAGTCTTTGATTAAGGGCAGCCAATATATTGCTGAAGTCACATAACAAAGTCTGAGCTTTCCCAGGAGTCACCTCCAGATTTCTCTGAAAAAGGAAACGGGGAAGGGGTTGGGAATGCCACACCTAAGAATCTGATTTCATTTGCTCTCAGGGAGGGAAACTCTGCACTCAGCCAACTGGACTACGACAACAGATTCCCTATTGGGGAATTCTACAGTTTCCATCCATACTCCAGGTTCCAGTGGAATGAACATTAGTGGTAGCCTGAGCAAGGTGACTGGACCCACACATCTGAATCTGTTAGATCGGGGTAGGATTTAATGAAACCTCAATAGAAAAAGGAGGAGGAAACATCCAGGAGTTAGCCAAAGGCACCAAGAAACAACAGCCAAGACAAAATCTCTAATAAAATGTTATGTCCAATTAAAAGAGAAGAAAATCCCCACACCCAAGGCAGAAGGCAGGATCAGGAATTCCGGTAAGGGCTAAAGAACCAGAAAGTCAGGGCTAGGTGGAGAAGCTGTCAAAATGACAAGAAATAAGAACAAGTGTTCAAGAGCCGGAGAGGATAAACCCGAGTAGGGCTCAAGGTGAACAAAGCACATAGCAATTGAGACTGCAGTTTTTCCACAGTTAAAACTTCCCTGTGCTGAAAAGAAGCACAGATTTTTTAATTACAGAAGTTCTCCTTTTAGAATCCTTCTATGTTAGTGAATTATGCATGAATATTAAACCAGTATTTCCACTGACAATTTTTCTCTATATATTTTTAGCTTTTTTTTCCCCCATTTGTTTCTCTCTGTTTGTCTACACCATCTTGGAAAATCCCTTCTTCCTCCAAATTAAATTTTTATTAAGAAAAAAATCATTATTTCAAGTTTCCATAGATACCTTTTTGAAAGAGAACTTTGTCAGAATTAGGAATTTTCCTAGCACCTCCAAGAGGCAAATATCAATTTGAAAGCAAACAATACAGACCAAAAGACATTTTATTTCTATAATTTTGAAAATGAATGTATAAATCAGAACAACCTGAAAACTCACTTTGGGCTACGTATGACAAAAGTGCTAAGAAATGTGTTAATTCTTCATGCTATGTCAGAATGTAACCTCTTTCACAAAACAAGACCAAAAACAATAATAATAGCAGTATTTATTGACTTACTCCATGTGTGGCTCTAGTTTTCATATGTTGATTCACTCATTCCTTTCAACAATCTATCAAGAAAATACTATTACTATTTCTATTTTATAAATTATTGTTTTTCAGTTGCTAAGTCACGTCCAACTCTTCACAACCCCAGGGATTGCAGCACGCCAGGCTTCCCTGTTCTTCACTGTCTTTCAGAATTTGCTCAAACTCATCCATTGAGTCAGTGATGCCACTCAAACATCTTATCCTGTCACCCACTTCTCTTCCTGCCCTCAATATTTCCCAGCATCAGGATCTTCTCCAATGAGTCAGCTCTTCAAATCAGGTGGGTCAAAGTACTGAAGCTTCAGCTTCAGCATCAGTCCTTCCAATGAATATTCAAGGTTGATTTCCTTTAGGATTGACTGGTTTGATCTTCTTGCAGTCCAAGGGACTCTCAAGAGTCTTCTCCAGCACCACAATTCACAGTTCGAAAGCATCAATTCTTCAGCGCTCAGCCTTCTTTACGGTCCAATTCTCACATCTGTACATGACTACTGGAAAAACCATAGCTTTGACTATATGAGGAAAGTGAAATAGAGAGAGGTTAAGAAACATCCCCAAGGTCACTCAGTTTGTTAAGGTCTGAGTCAGGATTTGAGCTCAGGCTATCTGGTCTACGTTTTTAGCCAAAAAACTTTATACCTGAGAGCCCTGTTAGTGATAGAAATCCAGATTTAGAGTTGCCATGTGTCCTAAATATGTTTACAAGTTTGAGATCTCAAGCAATAATATTCTCACTGACTTGTCAGCACTGCTCAGTGACAGGAAGGAAATCAAAGCCTATATAATTTTATTAAAATAAAAGTGATTACATTTAGAAAAACCGCTTATTTTTCACAAAACTCTGACATTTTAAAAACAGATATACATCTTGGATAATTTTAAAAAAAAACTGCTTGGATATTTTGCCCAATCTAAAAAATTACAAATTACTTGAAAATTTGCTTTAGCAGAATGATAAAAGAAAGCAAAGGACTACTGAAATTAAAATGACTTAACCAGCAGACAGGGTTGGAACCTAGTATCCAAGGGTCTTGACTTGCATTTCTCTGCTTGTCAGTACATAATGGATTTGTGGAAACAGGTCTCCTTTGGTAACTGCTGCTGTGGCACACTTCACTGTTACAGTAACAGCTTCCCCTCCTGCAGATTTCCTTCTTGTTCAGTCGCTCAGTCATGTCTGACTCTTTGTGACCCCATGGACTGCAGCACACCAGGCTTCTTTGTCCATCACCATCTCCCTGAGTTTTCTCAGACTCATGTCCATTGAGTCAGTGATGCCATCCAACTACCCCCTTCTCCTCTAATTCTGATATAATCCTGACACAATAAGCTGTGCTGAAATGACAGCACACATTGTCTTCTGAATCTCTAAAACCCTGTGAAGTCAGTATCACGGGCTGCATTTTAAAATGGGGAAAGACAGAACCAAACAGGTAATTAAAGTAACTCCCCTAAGGCCAAAAAAAGTTGGAAAACAGACTGAACCAGAATTCAAACCCGAGCCTGTGGGACTACAATGCTTTTGCTCTCTCCCCTCTAGTTCACTACATCACTGTCATATAAACTTGAAGTTAAAGCTAGTAATCAGCTCACGATGTTGAGTTGATACTTATTAAAATACAACTCCATGTCTATATATTCCAAAGACTATTTCCGCCTCTTCAAAGCAACCATACAAGGAGAGGCCGTGAGACGTGTCCCCGAGAGGGACAGGATGAAGCAGTAATTACAGAACTGGTGCCACGGGTGGGTGAGGAAGAGCCCTGTGATCCTGGCTAAGGATTCCTAGGTCTAAGGACTCCTAGGTTCCCTCCCACACCCCAAGGTGCTCTATCGATAAACAGATCCCTTGGATCCAGGCTTCAGACATCCAGGCTCACATCGGAGCATTGCCACAAACATCTGCTTCAGCTTGCTATTTCCCAGAATGAGAACATAGGAGTGACCAACAGGATATAACATTGCAATTACTTCTCCAATCATCGAAATCATCTTAGTTGCTGGTAGGAAATAACTGGATGTTAAAACTGAAAAGGAAAAATAGTAGAGTAGGAAGAGAAAGAGGAAGGAGAGGATGACTCTGATGGCCCTCCTGTGGGCCTCGGTACTGGGATCTTTGGGGCTGGCACAATTTTGACGCATCTGCCGCATGTGCCTCCCAAGGGAGAGAATGAGCAGAAAGTAGGAGGTTAGAGATATGACTAGGGGAGGGAGGTTCCACAGAGTCCCAAGAACATGGATCAGTTTATATTCTTTTTCTTTCTTTCTAAAGAGCTCAGTCATATTCCCAGTTTCGTCAATTCCACCGAGAACAGAATACATCTTAAATTCCCGGATCAGAGAGATGGCGCTGCAACATGATAACAGCAGGGAACTCAATAGCATCCATACGACTACCCTGGAAACTCTCCACTTGAGCCAGAGGAACGTAGGATGGGAGAAACTGGCCACTTTCAGGCAGTAGAAGACATTGAGACAGGTGGCAAGCCAAATGCTCAGATGGTTTGTAAATGTCCAGAAGACATCAATAATTTGCATGAGTATCCCTTCATCATGTAGTTTGGAAGAGAACACCAGTAAAACACCATCAATCAAGAGAATCCACAGCAAAACAATCCTGGAGACAGCCAGGTTAGTGATGATGAAATCAGACAAAGAGATCCTCTTGCTCCTGAACCAGCTGCTGCCATTGACCCACGCTATGAAACCATTCCCCAGCATTCCCAGCATGAACTGAACAGTGGTCAGAACCAGAAACCCCCACTTGCTGAGTCTCAGCATGTTAGCTGTTCAGCAGACCTGGCCTTTGTTCTTTCCATTGACAAACATTCTCCTGCTGATTTGAAACTCCTCTTGTTAATCACTTCTACCTGCTGCTTCTCTTATCTCTGCCCAGTTTGGTCTGTTGTAGACACAACACAGCAAACCTTCTGGCTCTTTCAGGTTAGTCTGTCCTCTTCAGAGGACGACTTGGTTTGTCACATTCCATCTATGATCTAAACTCAGAAGCTCTTTGCCAAAATGCAAATAGAGTAGTGTCTGGTGTCACGCAGAGAAGGAAGAGGTGAGTCACCAAGAAGGTGGAGGATTTGGACTCCATTTCAAAGGTAGTAGGGCTCTGAGTGCAAAGTGGAGTGGAAACTCAGAGTGGAAAGGTGGGTCACCAGAAGGGTCACACAGAATCACTCACGAGGAACGACTCAGGGACACATACAAAAGGGGGAAATATCAGAATTTCACCATACGGCACTATCACAATCATCCTGGAGGGAGGTTTACATTCATAAAATAGGAAAAATTCAGAGTCAGTGGTCCTGGATCAGAATTAAACGGAGTGCCTCCTACTGCCTCTTTCCTTGTTTTCTTAGAATATGCCTCACATGAAGGGGCTACAAGCTCATCTCTAGGGAGTCATGGCATCAGAAATTCTTAAGTACCTGAATATTTAAATGATAACAATAATGAATACAAGCTGCTCAAAGGATGGATTTTTTCAGAGGGCCTGACCACTGTATTGACATGTCAGTAATAATTCAGGCTGACCAAAAAAACATACAGACACTCTCTGTGAACCAAAACAGTGCCTTACAAATTTCCCAGGACAGTGTGCTTCCATGTATATCTCATTAGCTGGTGACCAGAGTTCAATTTCTCAAATGACTTTGTTGAATATCATCATTATCACTGCCATCATTCCATCAGGTACCAGTGATATGAATTATGAGCCCACAGTTATAACTATTCTCATTTCTTAACATAAATAGTAGAACCATCATACTATAACTAAAACCACATCATTAGTAAAGGCTGCTTCCAAAATGTACATTGACCATGGTCTACCAAGTAACCACATGTATTTCCATTCTATTAAGCCTGAAGTTTGTTGGAGAAATCAATACTAGAGCTGTGATATTGTGGCAACCCAGGCTGCAGATACCTAGAAAGAATACTGAGATCACACACTTGCTCTCAGAGTTAGGGTCATTCTCCCCCGCCCCCGACCAGTGCGGAGGGCTATAAGGCACTTCTCCCATAATTTTTGTAGGTCTTGTGAGATAAACAAGACGAACAACAAAAAAAAAAAATCAACCATTCTTTTCAATAAAAGACCAAAGTAAGTAAGGTAAGTCAGGGCACTGGCAAAAATAATTTGCACAGACTAGGTCATTCCAGAAGTGTTTTAAAAAGGGATTATTTTTTAAATGAAGACAGAGTATTAGGGAAACTATAAACAGATAGTTTAGGACCCCAGGGCAGGAACAGAGGGCACTAGAATATGATACCACTCCCAGAGAGAGAGCTGTGTGTAGAGGGTACCTCCAGACCATTACCTGAGATTTTTTCAGCTGGGAGACCCTGAAGAGAATCAGCTGAGAGAATACAGGTCAGCAGACCAACAAGGCATTCTCAGATCATCTTCCACCCCTTCATTATTCTTGGCACTTTCTCCCCAAGGACTAAGACATCATGGTCCAAGTCTCTGCAATCATTCCTGCTTCTGATACTACTCTGCATGACAACTGTGTGGATAAATGTTAGCAGTACACTCAGACTGACATCAAGACAAATCTTAGACAATATCCATTTATACCAAAGTTCACTAATCTGAAGAACACAGAAGGAAATCAGCAGAGTTGAGTGTACACAGCAGAGAGATCAGCAATACATATAAAATGATAAGTGGTCTGCAGCCTTGCAGGGCTTTAAAGTCCTGACCTGAAGAATGCACAGTGTCCAGTAATAAGTCTACTTCAGTTCAGTCGCTCAGTTGTGTCTGACTCTTTGCGACCCCATGGACTGCAGCATGCCAGGATTCCCGGTCCATCACCAACTGCCAGGGCTTACTCAAACTCACGTCCATCGAGTTGGTGATGCCATCCAACCATCTCATCCTCTGTCGTCCCCTTCTCCTCCCGCTTCAATCTTTCCCCCCATCAGGGTCTTTTCAGATGAGTCAGTTCTTCTCATCAGGCAGCCAAAGTATTGGAGTTTCAGGTTCAGTGTCAGTCCTTCCAATGAATATTCAGGACTGATTTCCTTTAGGATTGGCTGGTTGGATCTCCCTGCAGTCCAAGGGACTCTCAAGAGTCTTCTCCAACACCACAGTTCAAAAACATCAATTCTTCAGTGCTCAGCTTTCTTTACAGTCCAACTCTCACATCCATACATGACTACTGGAAAATCCACAGCTTTGACTAGATTTGTTGCCAAAGTAATGTCTCTGCTTCTTAATATGCTGTCTAGGTTGGTCATAACTTTTCTTTCAAGGAGCAAGTGTTAAAAGATTTTATGGCTGCAGTCATCATCTGCAGTGATTTTGGAGCCCCAAAAAATAAAGTCTCTCACTGTTTCCATTGTTTCCCCATCTATTAGCCAGGAAGTGATGGGACCAGATGACATGATCTTAATTTTCTGAATGTTGAGTTTTAAGCCAACTTTTTCACTCTCCTCTTTCACTTTCATCAAGAGGCTCTTTAGTTCTTCTTTGCTTTCTGCCAAAAGCGTGGTATCATCTGCATATCTGAGGTTATTGATATTTCTCCCGTCAATCTTGATTTCAGCTTGTGCTTCGTACAGCCTGGCATTTCACATGATGTACTCTGCATATAAGTTAAACAAGCAGGGTGACAGTATACAGCCTTGACATACTCCTTTCCCAACTTGGAATCAGTCTTGTTCCATGTCCAGTTCTAACTGTTGCTTCCTGGCCTACATACAGATTTCTCAGGAGGCAGGTCAGCTGGTGTGGTATTCCCATCTCTTGATGAATTTTCTAGTTTGTTGTGATCCACACAAGGCTTTGGCATAGTCAATAAAGCAAAAGTAGATATTTTTCTGGAACTCTCTTGCTTTTTCGATGATCCAACAGATGTTGGCAATTTGATCTCTGGATCCTCTGCCTTTTTCAAAATCTAGCATGAACATCTGAAAGTTCATATACTGTTGAAGCCTGGCTTGGAGAATTTTGAGCATTACTTTAGTAGCATGTGAGATGAGTGCAATTGTACAGTAGTTTGAGCATTATTTGGAATTGCCTTTCTTTGGGATTGGAATGAAAACTGACCTTTTCCAGTCCTGTGGCCACTGCTGAGTTTTCCAAATTTGCTTGCATATTGAGTGCAGCACTTTCACAGCATCACCTTTTAGGATTTGAAATAGCTCAACTGGAATTCCATCACTTCCACTAGCTTTGTTCAGAGATGCTTTGTAAGGTCCACTTGACTTCACATTCCAGGATGTCTGGCTCTAAGTGAGTGACCACGCCATTGTGGTAATCTGGGTTATGAAGATCTTTTTATATAGTTCTTCTGTGTATTCTTCCCACCTCTTCTTAATATCTTCTGCTTCTCTTAGGTTCATACCATTTCTGTCCTTTATTGTGCCCTTCTCTGCATGAAACGTTCCTTTGATATCTCTAATTTTCTTGAAGAGATCTCTAGTCTTTCTGAGGGAACTGAGCTTGCGTGAAATACAGAAGTGCTTCATGTAAGTGCAAGAGACTCTCTTTTCCCAGATAACGGGTTGTCCAGGCAACCTAGATTGAACTCTGAGGGTTATTTCTGGACAACCTTCCACTTTACAGTATACATTTCCTATAATAGGAGTGGGATCATATATCCCACTTGTCTAGGGCAATCATGATTATGTAACTGTCACTCCAAGTAACTATTAATAATGCCCCCTTCTGAAGTTTTGCTCACTGAACACTCGGGCCCTAAGCTCAGTGCTCAGAACACAATAGAACCTCAATAAATACATATTGAATAAATAAATTTCCCAGAAGCTTGATTACTGTTTTTATCTCAAGCTTCAGATTCATTTTCTAATACTGTTGGATTTCAGGAAAAATAATGGAAAATAGATGAACTAGAAGTTAAATCTTATTTCTGTACTGCCATTCACTCATCTGACATTTCTTGAGCATCTACTAATGAGACAGGCAGTGTACTAGGTACAGGAATTCATGGAATAGTAAGCAAGAGTGACATCTACAAAAAAATAATGTAACGATGTGACCAATGCTGTAAGCAATAGATACAAAATATACATGTTTGCACAGACAAGGGAACAAATTTTCTCTGGAATAGTCACAGGCTTGAAAGAAGAGATGACATTTGAGATACATCTCTTAAAACAAATGGGAGTTCACCTGGCAGGCAAGGTAAAGAAAAGAAAATTCCATGCACTACAAAAATAGAAGCGATAATGGTGGTGATGATTTATTTGCCAACATATCCACAGACTAATATATAATACATATCAAATAATAATGGGCTTCCTCAATGGTTCAGTGGGTAAAGAATTTGCCTGCAATGCAGGAGACGTGGGTTCAATCCCTGGGTCAGGAAGACCCCTTGGAGGAGGAAATGGCAACCCACTCCAGTATTCTTGCCTGGAAAATCCCATGGACAGAGGAGCCTGGTTAGGCTACAGTCCAAACGGTCTCAAAGAGCTGGGCACAACTGAGCAACTACGCATGCATTCGTAAAATAATATACATAGCACTTAATTACATGCTACAAATTGTTTTAAGGTAACTGGAGTAAGTCATTTAATTTTCAACACATGAGGTGAGTTCTATTATTGTCCTCATTTTTAAAGAGGAAAAAACTTAAGGCTGAGATTCTCATAGAGCTAGTAAGCAGGACAGCAAAGATTCTGACCCAGGCAGTCTGGCTTCAGAATCCATTGCCTTAACTAAAGACCTCAAAGACCACCTGTTGGTGACACCTCAATAAATATGAGAAAAAATAGGGCCTGGAGCAGTAATGTTAGTCAGG